GGCCGCCGAGCCGCCGCCCGTGCTGCACCTGCCCGCCATCCAGCCCCCGCCGCCCGTGCTGCCCGGGCCCTTCTTCATGCCGTCCGACCGCTCCACGGAGCGCTGCGAGACCGTGCTGGAGGGGGAGACCATCTCGTGCTTCGTGGTGGGCGGCGAGAAGCGCCTGTGCCTGCCGCAGATCCTCAACTCGGTGCTGCGCGACTTCTCGCTGCAGCAGATCAACTCCGTGTGCGACGAGCTGCACATCTACTGCTCGCGCTGCACGGCCGACCAGCTGGAGATCCTCAAAGTCATGGGCATCCTGCCCTTCTCCGCGCCCTCGTGCGGGCTCATCACCAAGACGGACGCCGAGCGCCTGTGCAACGCGCTGCTCTACGGCGGCGCCTACCCGCCGCCCTGCAAGAAGGAGCTGGCCGCCAGCCTGGCGCTGGGCCTGCAGCTCAGCGAGCGCAGCGTCCGCGTGTACCACGAGTGCTTCGGCAAGTGCAAGGGGCTGCTGGTGCCCGAGCTGTACAGCAGCCCCAGCGCCGCCTGCATCCAGTGCCTCGACTGCCGCCTCATGTACCCGCCGCACAAGTTCGTGGTGCACTCGCACAAGGCCCTGGAGAACCGGACCTGCCACTGGGGCTTCGACTCGGCCAACTGGAGGGCCTACATCCTGCTGAGCCAGGACTACACGGGCAAGGAGGAGCAGGCCCGGCTCGGCCGCTGCCTGGACGACGTGAAGGAGAAGTTCGACTACGCCAACAAGTACAAGCGGCGGGTGCCCCGGGTGAGTGTCCCGCCGGCCGCGGGGGACGGGCGACTTGGGGGGGGGGGGCTGGAGGGCTCCGGAATGGGAAGCCTCCTCCTGCCGGGCCTCGAAGTCCCGGAGCGGCTTTTGTCTCGGGGAAGTTTGGAGCAGTGTCTGCAGCTCTGTCCAGCAGGCCCGGGGCCCAGGAAGAAGGCCCGCCTTGCAGGGAAGGGGGCGCCGATGGATGGGGGGGGGGAGCGCGTGGGGGTGGCCGTGCTAGACCTGGTCAGTGGAAAAGCTCTTCCCACGGCCTAGTACCACTGCACTGCTTCACTGGTCTGAGAAAGAGGCCTCCCCCAAGCTCCAAGGAGATCTTGGAAGTTAGATTTTCAGGACACAGACTGTGAGCTTCCGGTCCACATTGGGGTCTACACACAAGGTGTGTACCCCAGGAGCCTCCCGGCCTCACTGACAAAAAGTGCCCGCTCTTGGCTCCCAGGAGGCAGACTAGTTTGGTTACCAGCTCCCTCCCTGCTTTGGCCCTTGAGGTCTGGGGACACACAAAAGTAACTCAGGAGGCTGGGTTGAGACTTGGCAACTCTGGCCCTCAGCCTCATGGGCTGCTTGAATCCTAGTTCCTTGTGGGACACCAGGGCCTCTTGGCCTGGTCAGTAGCCCGAAGCCTCTGGTGTTGGAGTTGCTGGCCATCTGCAGTTTGTTTGGGCTGATCCATTTCCTTCTCTCCTGACCGAGATGCAGAAGAGCCTGCCTGGTGTGGAGGGCCCAAGCTGTTGTTTGCGTCCAGGCTCTCTGGGTCTGTGGGCTTGGGCAGCTCTCGGCGGCTAGGTGAGGAAGCTGTTAGCTGGAGTGCATGAGGGATTTTTCCTGCACACAGTTCAAGTACCTGTAACTTTGTTATTTTAAATATCCAGGCTTATTAAATTGCATACACAGAATGCTGCTTTGGCTCAGCTATTCTTGGGAGGCCTAATTAATTCAGCTATTGCCTTTGCCTCAAACTTTTTTTTTTTTTTTTCTAAATCTGTGAATAGATGCTGCAGCCCGGTTTTCTCTGGGCGCCCCTCCAGCAGAGTGTCAGAGTCGTGGGGGGAGGGGCTGGAGCGGGGCTGGCGCCTCCGGTGGGGGCGCCGCCGCCCAGAGTGCTGTGCTGTGTGCTGTGTCGGGGCAGTTCTGCCCTGGCCAGCTAGGCTAATGGCCAGGTGCAGCTGCTTGCAGCCTGGTGGGGTGGGGGTGGGGGTGGGGGCCTGTCACTGATGGTGGGAAGTGTCTGTACTTCATTTTGGGTGGGGAAGTTGGCTACGAGTGCTCCCTGATAGCAGGGGCCTTTTGGGGAGGCCACATGCACCGCTCACGTGGCCTGTGTGGTGATGGTCGTGGGCTTGGGACTGGAGCTTGTCTGTCTGTCAGTCTGTCAGTCCTCTGTCTGAGGTCCTTGCCTCTGGGAAGCTTTCAGTCTCTTATCTCAAGAGCCAACAGTGAGGATCTGAGCAGGGCGTGTCTCTGTTTGTTTTTGTCGACTCTGGGTCGTGTGGTGTTGGGTCTTTCAGTTTTCTGGGCTCTAGGGCCAGCAAGGCCCTTTTGTCCTGGTCTCTGGGGCAGGCTGCTGTGTCCTCCCCCCCCCCCCCAAATCAAGCCCTGGAGTCTGAGTGCGGGTATCTCCAGGCTCAGGGCAGCCCTGGCTCTGTGGTAGAGGGTGCCCTGGGCTGTGGTCACAGGGAGAGGCCAGCCAGGTTCCACCCGGGCAACCTCATTGACCGGCGGTAAACAGACTCCTTTCCCCAGTGATGCCCTTCCTGCAAGCCACCACGGCGTCTGCATCCTGCTCCCCAAGTAGGAGCCAGCACTGTGCCCACCATGGCCGAGTGCTGGCGTTCCTGCACTTTCCAGCTTCCCTGTGCTTTCCTAGTGAGGGCTAAGGGCTGTCTCTCCTCTCCCTTGTGGGATGCCTCCAGCTCTGCCCCTCTGTGGCTCTGGGATCCCGAGGGTGTGCTCCTCCAACCGTTACCCCTCCCCCCAGGGCAGCCATGTGCTGTCTGCACACACTGAGGTGCCACGTGGAAAGGGAGGAGGAGGTGTCAGTGGAGATGGGTGTGGACCCCTGCCTTCGAAGCCCCTCGAGTCCTTGGAGGAGCAGCCTGGGAGGTGCCCTTTTTTGGCTCCTCCCACTTGTTTTTTTTCTGACAGCTTATACATGGGTCTATTTGGATTTCTTTACTTCCTTTGTAGCTTATTTTAATACTTTTGGTGTAGGGAGGAGAAGGGCGGCGGAACAAAGAGTGTACTGGAAGTCTGCGGGAGCTGCTGCTCTCTCTCGAAGGCATTTGGGCTCCAGCGAGCAGGGTGGGAGCCGCTGTGCTGGTGGGTGGCGTGTGGCAGAGCTCCTGGCAGTGCCAGGCCGGCTCTGTGCTGCTCCACCTCCACGGGGCGGGGAGGCTGGTGATTTTCCTGCGTCCCCCAGACCCCGGTTTCTGTCGCCGGCCTGGCCCAGGCAGGGTGGTGGTGGTTCTTGGGTGGTTCTTGGGTTCTTGTGTGGGGTTGCAGCTGTGGATCTGAAAATGCTGTGCCAGGGCCCATCAGCGGTGCCCTGGCATCCTAGGGACACTGTGGTCTTCCTGGGCCACGGATGCCCCCTGATACCCTGGGGAGCAGAGGAAATGCCGTCTTCTCTCTGCTGGCCACCAGGCCCAACTTCCTGTTGGTGTGGCTTAGAGGGCGTGAAGTCGTCCTGGTGCTGGGTGAGTCGCAGCGGCGGTGTCCTCACCCGCTGCTCTCACATCTTGTGTCCCTCGCCGGCTGTGACCTTGAGCAAGTCGCTTAAACTCTGTCACTCTCTGGTCTCCTGTGAATGGGGGGTAGGGAGGGGGTCAATACTTTATTGATCCTGGATGTATAGGGGATGTGTCATGGGTAAGGTATAGATGGTTCATTTTCCTATTGGCAACACGAGGTAGGTGGGAGTCTATAAGGCACATCCCTTAAATGCCCCCTTCTCATTCTGCCTGGCTCCTCTCTCCCTCGCTTCCTCTTCAGTTGTCTGATAGCTGTGGGACTTCATGTGAAGCCTGGTCTGTGTATTGGCATAGATTGCTGTCTGTCCAAAAGGCAGACAGTGGTAGTTGGAGCTGCTGCTTGGCTGGCTGCCTGGGACATGGCTTCTGTCCCACAGGACATCTTGCTGGTAACTGAGGGCCGCCTGCCCTTCCAGGTTGGAGACAGGGTGTTGTGATGCCTTCTTTAGGCTGTCTGTGGTCTGAACATTCTCCCGTCTGAGGAATTTGGGCTAAGTTTCTCTGCCCTTCAGAGCTTATATGCTTAGAGAGGGTCTTAGGTAGACTCACTGCTCTTGCAGGCAGCTGATGCCCACTGGTGTGGGTCGTATGGATTCCTTATGTTGGAAGCATAGCCCTGAGGTGGTTTTTCTCTTCCAGTTTCCTCGCACTGAGTCCTGAACTGTGGTCTAGGGCCTCAGGTGCCTTGTGGCTGTAGAGATCAGGCGTTTCTGGACTCAGAGAAGTTGGACTGCAGTTGGGAGTGACAGCGCAGCAGCCCTGAGAGCAGCCGTGTCCTGCGGGCCTCATTTGCGTGACCTCAGGTCTGGGCAGGGCTGCTGCGGAGCCGCCGTCCCTGGCCCACCAGTGTCTTTGAAGACCGGTCCTCAGGAGCAGCTCTGCCGGGCTACCTTGGGTTTTGGAAGTGGTGTTCCCCGAGCGGGGAAGGGAGCACTGTAGGAGGAGCACGCTGGAGGATGGGCCGAGCCTCTGGTCGGATTTTCTCAAGAGGACACAGGGCTAGAGCAGGAGCTGACTAGGTCTTGCTCACTCTTGCCAGCCCATCCACTTTGCAGATGCTTCTCTTCGTCCACCTAGGTCACTGGTTTGCCAGGGCCCCTCTGAGCCCGGGGTCGGGTCCTTACCATCTTTGGGCAGCAGGGTCCTGGGGTACCCCTTGCCTCTGCACAGGCACCCCACCTGCAGTCCTTCCTTCAGCCGAGAGCTCTGAGGAAGGTCACTGACTCCTGGCACGGGTTCCCCTCTGCAGCCGGCTTGTGTAATGTCTGTCTGAAACATGGCAGCGGCAGACAGGATGTGAGTGGAGGAAGTCTGGGCTCCGTGTGAGCTGAGCCCCACCCAGACGGGGTGTGGGGGGCACCCTGGCCCAGGAGGAGACGGTGGTTCCTGGGCTGTCTGTCTGGCAGGAGGTGGCTGTGGCAATAATGTGTCTCTTTCTAAGGATTGCGAAAGTCGAGGGAGGATTTCTCCACTGGAAGAGTTATGCAAGTTTCAACCGAAATGTTTTTAAAAAGTTTCTTTGTTTTGAGTCAAAACACAGAGAGAGGCTGGATTACTTCCGCCAGATCTGGGAGAGAGGACAGGAGGGAGCCGCTCACACTTCCCTGCTGACTGCCGCCCCTGGAAGGGAGTAGTGGAGGAGAGTAGGATGCGGTCCAGATTGAGGCTGGGGTTAGGCCACTCCCGGTAATCCGGTGGCTTGGTCAGCATCCTTGGGGCCCCCGTGGGTGCCGTGAAACCACCTTGCCCTGAACAGGCCAGCACAGTCGCCGTCCCCCTCTCCCTTCTCCCTGACCTTTTGGGGCCCCAGACATTTTGCTGGTGCCAGAGATTACTTTGGATCACCCCTCAGAAGCACCTACATGTTGCCAGGGGCGGTGGGCAGCAAGAGCTGCGTTGGGGACCAGGGTTCTGCAAAAGCCTGTTTCCAAGGGCCCTGTTCCCCCGGAGGCCCCGAGGCCGGCGTCCTCGTCCTCCGCCTCCGCCTCCTGACACAGAGCGCTGGGTCGGGGAATTTCAAGCCGGCTGGGGCCTGGTGCACTGTCTGTGGCCTGCAGGGTAGGGTGACCTCGCCGCGCGCGCTGCTGGCGGCTGCTGAGGGCGGCCTTGCTCTTGAGTCACCATCCTGACATTTGCCGGGGGGGAAACAGATAAAGGGATCAGGGCGGGAGGCGCTGTGGCCATGTACCTTCTCTGGTTGGAGTGTGACTGACAGAGACCCAAGGAATG